TTAAAGGTTGATTACTTAGGTTTTGTTATGGCTTCAGGCACCAGACAATTGAGTCCAAAACGTATTGAGGTAATTCAGAAGATTCCTAAACCCACTACTCGAAAGGAGTTGCTCACCTTCCTCGGCATGATTAATTACTGCCGCCAATGGATCCCTGAATGCTCCCATTATGACTCAATCCTAAGGGAGGCTGTACGATCTGACAGCCCTGAAAATGTCTGCTGGTCACCAAACATGCTAGCTTCGTATATTGCCCTCAAAGTTGCTATTGTGCAAGCCCTGGCTTTAGGACTGCCTGTGTATTGTAAACCATTTCATTTGTATGCTTCGGACAACGGTAAAACCATGGCCGCGGTCTGTGCACAAGAGCACGGAGGCAGTATGTGTCCCATAGCATTCTTTTCCAAAGTAGTTCCAGCTCCGGTACAGGGTATGCCGTGTAATGGCTGTTGAGACTGCTACTACTATCACACTAGGGCATCTTACAATACTCCATACCAGTCACCAGGTCACTCAGCTCATAAAAAATCTCACCACACAATACATGACAGCCCAGCGTTTAAGTGGTTATGAGATTCTTCTTCTTAATGCCCAGAATCTATCTATTGTCTATAGTCCTGTTAATTCTGGTCCTATGTCTGTTTTGCATGCTATTCTCACTTCTGCATCTGACTCTGTCTATACCATCTGAGCCTCATAATTGCATTGAACAAATACATATTGCCACATCTCCCAGAGCATACCTCTCCTCCACAGCACTCAGTGGCCTGGATGTGACCACTATCTTTGTGGATGGCTCTTGCTCCAGACCAAATGACGGTACGTATCTCACAGGCTATGCCGTGGTACAGTTACCTGATAAAATCATTGAAGCTGACACTATTTTCCAGCCGTCTGCACAAGCTGCAGAACTCATTGCTCTCACACGTGCCTGTCAGCTTTTCTCTGGACAGCGAGTGAACATTTAAACAGACTCACGATATGCTCATGGGGTAGTGCATGATTTTGGTGTGATTTGGAAACAAAGAGGCTTTGTAGAAGCCGATGGAAAAGCCATTTCACATACAAATCTCATCCAATCACTCCTAGATGCTATCCTACTCCCATCTGAAGTAGCTGTTATCCACTGCAAGGCACACACTCTGGGTAGTGGTGACATTTCCAGAGGTAATGCCTTGGCTGACAAAGTGGCAAAAGAAGTTGCAGCCAAAACTCTTTACTATGAAATGTTTCCTGCTATGCTCACACCTCCCACATGTACAGTCTTTTGTAAGATCATGTGAACCATGTATGAGAACACATCCTAATATTCCACACAAATCACAGCACAAACATTTGCCCCCTCCAGCTGCTCCTTTTACACACACTTACAGATTGATTTTACTCATGTACCCAAAATTGGTAAGAAACAGAAATACTTACTGGTCATAGTTGATCAGTTTAGTAGATGGCCCGAGGCCTTTTTGACATCTAGGGATGATGCTAGGACTGTAGTGAAGATTCTTGCTACTGAAATTATTCCCAGGTATAGCTGCCCTCTGCAGATTAACTCTGATAATGGCCCGGCTTTTGCCAGTAAGGTTACCCAGGAACTTGCTAAATTCTTGCAAGTTACCTGGAAGTTTCATATACCCTATCATCCACAGAGTTCAGGGGTAGTTGAAAGGATGAATAGGACCATTAAGGAGAAGCTTATGAAAGCTACTGCAGGAACATGGGTAAATTTGACAAAATATCTTCCAGCTATTTTAGATGAGATAAGAAGGACTCCCCACAAGGTGACTAAATTATCTCCATTTGAGATTCTGATGGGATGACCTTTTCCCACACCCTGGGCCAGGGAACCGCTTGTTATAATGTCTGGGGATTTACAACTAATACAAGAACAATATGTACAGGAATTGTTGATAAAACTGAATGGTATATATGGCAATGTTTCTTCGCAGTTTCCCTTACCTTCACAGGAACCTACTCATCCATACCAGCCCAGTGACAAGGTGTATGGGACCAAGAAAGGAGGACTAAGAAAGGAGGATACCCTTTCGGACCACCTGCTACTGTGATTGCTGTAACCATAACCGCCGTCCTCACAGATTCCCACGACATCTGGATTCATGCATCCCGAGTGAAGCTGTGTCCAAAGAGGGGAACCAAGGAAGACAACACCACTCCTCACTCGGAAACAGAAGAATTTCCCCTTAGCGAAGAATCATAGCTTTTACACCATATCGTAGATTGAGCGGATCATACGAACCTGAGACCAAGATTAGGTTTTGCGCTATGCTTTCTGGAGTTGTTATACTCCCTCTGATATTGTTCCTTGAATGCCATTATGAGTACAAGTAAATGGGAAGTTTGAAACCTGTTTGTTTCTGGAGAAAAGACTCTGACACGAACAATTCTTCAATACCCCCGGCCCAATTAGGCATTAGCCCCTCATCTAGCATTCGTCACACACGCTCCCTGAAGAACCTTTCTCCACCACCTATCTATCAGCATGTAATATGCAATCACTCATTGACTGAACGCATTTGGATGAATTGGACAAATAATAACCCTTATAAGTACCAGTTACCCATATGGAATGTGTCCACAGCTAATGAAACCGATGCATTATGTTTGTTTGAAGGTTCACGGAAAATTGTTAGATCTTATAACGCAGAAATGTGCACAGTTAAGATTGCTAATTACACTAGCATCTGTGCCACCTTATTTAATATAAGTTCTGATGGTAAGAAAAAAACACCTCAACAGGTTTGGGATATATATTATAAGAAAATTAGTAAGGTTGCATATCAATGTAAACAGACAGTCCTTATTACTTTTAATAATGATTATACAACTGGTACCATTAATTGGAAAAGGGGACAAATGTTAGTCATTATGAACGACACTGCAGTTGAGAACTGTAGACTACCTTATATTTCTACAACCTTATTACTGTCCTTTATCCTGTACCATAGGACCAAAAGTCAACAACGACACACACACACCTATTCCGTCCACATGTGTTAATACAACTGACTTCTTACAAGCTGTACATGTGTCATTAAAAAATCACTACTCCTGTTGTAACATTATGTAACACAGCAAACAAAAGGCAGAAAAGGGAATGTTATGACACACTGTTAGGAGGTGCTGGAACCACTGTGGGTATACTAAATAGTATAGACATGGAGGCCCTCAAGAATAAGTTAAACACGACCAGCATGCATATAGGGACTGGTTTCCATGCTACTGCAAACTGGGCTCCAACTGTTGTTAAATCACAGGTTACAGGATTGGATTTAGATAAATCAATGTATAACTATTTAGGTAATTTAACTGTTGCAACTATTGAAATTCACTACCAGTCTAAGTAACTGGAGTACTTGTGCCATCAAGTATTTATAGATGTAACAACAAAGATTGGCATTAGAAGACACACTAATGATTCCTAAACTAGAGAAGATTAGAGTGATGCTTAACCTCACAGATAATGAATGGTTACTTCTAAAACTCCAATCCACTAAATGCAATGAATGGTTAACTGGTAATGTTTCACATTTTTCATGCTCATGCTATTTTACACCATATCATACATCATCAAAGGATGTTAAATTAGCTTGTCAATTTAACACATTACCAGTACCAGTTTATGATCTCTTTGCCAGGAATTTAACCTGGTGGGCACCCACATACAGAGGGGACTATATTTTCCCCAAAGATAATATGACCTATTCCCTCAAACACTGTGTTCTCACTGACAAAGGATATGCATGTCGACACTCGTCCCCTATTTACGAACCATGCTTACTCCAAAATGAACTTAACAAGTGCATGTGGTACATATAGCCTGAAAATTATTTTACCATGACTGAAATAAGCACACAACATATCTATTTGGCAACTAACCTCCCTACAAAGATAATTACTAGTAATACAAGTATTAATCTACCTCTCCCCTTTTCAGGATGTTTGACTAATGTTAGATCTTAATGGCACCCAATATTATTTCAGCGACACAATCACTTTAGACAAACATATTAATGCCCTATTAGGCTCTCTGCCTTTTAAAGATTATCATTTTCCTCTTGAAAGGAAAACAAAATATGTTTAAACATCTTGTTACACACAATGATACTATAGTACACACACAGGTAGCCACACATATCCTAAAAGGAGAACTCCTTAAGGTGAGTTCACAAATTCAGAATGATTTAGCCCATCATCGGTACGATGCTTTTACTGGTTGGTCCCCTACTGGATCCCAGATAATCTAATTTAATGCTTTGTATATTTCTGTTGATTGCTACATTGTTATCCAATGTCTCATCATTTTCATTGGATGTTTTTTTGAGGGGGAAAGAGGGAAAGGTGTGGAGGTGACTGAAACTTTTAGAACAGCTGGACATGCCCCCTGGAGCTTCTCAGTGACAGTTGAAAGTAATTTTAAGTTTTAACAGATGAATCAGTTAGTAAAGCAGTACTTGAGGCTGAATAAAAGATTGACTGAAATCTATGTTCCAGAGTGTCAGTTATATTTGAGAACACAGTTACTAACACAAGGTATTCATTCAGTACTGGATGTTATAATTGTGACCACACAGGGAACACAACACCTAGCTGATATAGTTTGCATTTTATACATTATAGAACTTTGTTGTTGCATGTCACTTACATGTATGTGCAATGGACATTGTATATGCCATTTCTATTTTGTAGTTACTATTTCCAGCATAAATATTTTCTATATTTAAACACTTTATGGTGACTGCATTAATCAATTTGTTTAAGTCAGAACATTCCTGTATCACATTGGAAATACATCGGTTTGTGAATGGTCATACATTTCTCATTACATATTGACGTTTAGCCACTCTGATTGTGCAGCAAGAGAGCTTGGAAAAGTAATTCCACCTTTTCTAAAAAAAAAAATTAAATGTATAATTCACTACTGTAAGATAATAAATGTAATGCTTATAAAGCAGAATGAGATCAACTTTAAAGAAACATTATTTTTAAAATCTGTTGTCAAGAATGAACCTTTATAGCACACTGTAGTCGTCTCTAGTACATTGTTCTAGCCCATTTGATAACATATTGAAAATATATATAGTTACAAACATTAAACTGCCTTTTTTAACAGCATGTACTGTTGTTTGCTCTTTTTATGTGTTATAACAGATGTTTCCAAAATATATAGTTACATAGTTACATAGCTGAAAAGAGACTTGCGTCCATCAAGTTCAGCCTTCCTCACATTTGTTTTTGCTGTTGATCCAAAAGAAGGCAAACAAACCCAGTTTGAAGCACTTCCAATTTTGCAACAAACGAGGAAAAAAATTCCTTCTTGATCCCAGAATGGCAGTCAGATTTATCCTTGGATCAAGCAGCTATTACCCTACATTGAAAAATTATATCTTTGAGTATTCTGTTTTTGCAGTTAATTGAACCAGTTAATTTAAACCGTT